AAACTAAAAATCTCTTCAATTAAAAGCGATTCCGTCACTTTTCATATTGATAGTCCAAAGACCGCAGATACCCAAGGTTTCGGCTGCGAACCAGTCGCATCATCGCATGGCCACGAGCGGTTGGAGAAATGCCTAACTTATTCCAGCTAGGTCAATATGCACGGCTGAGATACCGTTTTCCCAAATAGGCAATAAAGTATAGCGCTCCACCAGGCTCATGCTTCACAGCTTGTAGTCCACGGCATCCTTCATAAGCAGGAAATGGCTCACTAGAGCTCCGATGGGTTCTTTTCAAGGTCAGAAAAGGACATAAAAGGCGCTTCGTTTCTCTCGAATGTCCAAAAACTCGGTTCACAAGTTTTACCTCGCAATGAGAGCCCAGTCCGATTCCTCTCTTAGCCTCCAAGGCAAAGTGGCCCTCATTACTGGTTCAGGCAAGAATAGAGGCATTGGCGCCGGCATAGCCACTACTCTTGCACGACATGGTGCATCCGTTGTCATCAACTACGTCTCTTCGTCAACAGCATCCTCCGCTGCAGCAGTGGCTGAGGATTTAGTTGCTGCAGGCGGAAAGGTACTTGTCGTCCAGGCAGACATTTCCCGCCCTGAGGAGGCACAAAGACTTGTAGGGGAGACGGTCACCGCGTTTGGGAAGATCGATATACTAGGTGAGCTCTGTCTTAGCGCTTACCGGGATCTGATGGCTTACTCGAGGCTTGCAGTCAACAATGCAGGGGCGGGGTTTCCTGGTCCTGCACTGACGGCGACCCCAGAGTCTATGGCAACCACCTTCGGCGTGAATGTCTTTGGGCCTCTCTATCTGATTCAAGCTGCCGTGGCACACATGCCCCCGTGCAGCCGTGTCATCAACATCGGCTCCGTTGCGTCAAAGTTAGGAGTTTCAGGGTCGCCAATTTACCTCGCCTCGAAGGCGGCAACGGATGCATTGACACTTGCTATGGCTGGTGAGGTAAGTTGAGATGCATCTGTACTATTGTACAAGCATAAAATAGAAGAGCGTGCTGATTTTCCTTTAGCTGGGCCGCGGTCATGGCGGCATAACGATCAACACGGTTTCACCTGGTCCCGTGGATACGGACGGTGTGCCACCTCATGTGGCAGAGAAGATTCACAAGACTATGGTACCCATGACCCGGGTAGAAGAGAGGGTAGGCACTGTGGAGGATGTCGCGGATGCGGTGCTTCTGTTGTGCTCCGAGAAAAGTCGATGGATATCAGGGCAAGTAATTTCAGTCAGTGGCGGAATAGTGGGTGGTTGAGGGTGGCTTCAGATCAGCTTGTTTGTGTACTCATTCTAATTACATGTTGGCTGGGGTAAGTTGTGAAATCAACCGGTCGGTCTGAATGTGCAACGCGTCAACCCAAAGAATGCTCTTAACTAATTTCAAAGCGTCATTGACATCGATGCCTAGAGAACTGATTGCGGACCTGATTTCCGCTGTATACAAATTATTTGGGTTCGGGTCTGCAATTAATGAGACAGTCACCAGCGCCCACAAGTATAGCTTCAAGCATAGAGCATCATACTTGGTCACGGGTAGGAAGGCAACAAAAGCTGTGAATTTACGCTGCAGGTGTGGCCATTCGCTTGAAGTGAACCGAAAGACGTCTTTCTTCAAAGCTGCAAGGAGCAACAGGAGAGCCAACCGTATGGCTTCTCTAAGAAATTTAGTTTCTTGCGGGCTGGAATCAAGATCCATAGGCCTCGACATGGACAGAAGGAAGTGTGTCGCAGGTCCGAACAATTTGATTATGGTAAGGCTGTCTTCACGCTGCCAGGATGGCTCGGGGTGACGTTGTATTCTATCAACGGTGATAGCGACGGATGCCACGTAGTTGAAGGCGATCGCCACATCACAAAAAGCTCCGTCTCTGATAGACAAATCATCGAGCAGGCCTCTTACCGAGGGCGCTATAACATCCGGAGGGACCGCATCCAGGTATGCTGCGAGCCCTGATGGCTTTGGCATTCGAGGATGAGCATCCTCCGCCACACTCCCAACAACATCGAGCCTAGTCACGAAGCCGTCAGCTCATGTCCAACCTCCTCGAGAAGATCATATTGCCAGCTGAAAACCATACCAAAAGGCAAACAAGGCCACATTAGGAGCGAGACCATGGTACCCTCCTCTGCATCGAATGATACGCTCAAGGCCGGTGAAATGAGTATTCCATCGGTCGCCCATTCCAACATAAAGCTTCAGCACTAGTCAATCTTCAATGCAATCGATTCATGAGAGTAAGCCTGCCTTACATCATGACAGATCAATCCCAGAATAGCGGTAATAACACCTTCGCTGAGACTTTCCTTGACGCTTCCCAACCGGGCCCTTACTTGCTGCACACATCTTCCGTAGTACGCTAGGCACTCGGAGCTTGTCTCATACTTGAACTCCTGCGCGCGGACTCTTTGGTCAAAAAACATGGCAGCGTTCGCCAAGGCCACGAAGATGGCGCTGGGATCGGTCAACGCCATGGAGAACCAGACGGAGCGAAACGGTCGGAAAACATAGTCCTTGTCGCTTGTCACTGTAGTTGGTAAGCTATACACTCAGATGGTAGGATGAATTGACATGTGGGGAGTGTACTGAAGTGCATCAGCTGTAGCCCTCGGTCGTCGAGAGGAACGGGGTAGTAAGCGGTATTGCATGGGTCAATGGAAGCCGGAATGCTCGTATTCGTCAATGAAGGGAGAGTATCGATGGCCGTTGTGCTTGGATTGACGGGCGGTCTCACAGACAAGGCCCAGGTTCGTGGCTTTCGCTGTGTCCGACGCGATCTCCCGATGTCCCGCATGACCGTACGTCGGATGGTGCGCTGGGTGGAGGCGGACTTGATTTCATCGGGTCGCGATATGTTCACAAATACCAGGCCATCTTGTTGAGTTTTTTGTTGCTTCATCATGCAGGAGGTGTCTGTAAGTGTGGGGTAGGAAGAAAGGGAGCAATCGCAGGGTTTTGAGATTGGGTTCGATGGTAGAAAGATCACACTAAGCCGGGTGAAGGATAATGCATCCTACTATTGAATCCATCGTGAGCTGTTTGGATCCACCCCAAATAATACAAAGGTGGCGGCATTTTTTACTTAGTGGAGTGGTAGAAGTCATTCTATATTATGCACCCTCTCGTAAAGCCTCCTTTTATGTAGCATTAGTATCGTCTAACTCAGAGTTATCAGGTATATCTGCTCCCTCGGCCGTATTGATCTCTCTGCCTCGTTCAGAGCACGTATGACTCTGCATACCAAAGATTTGAATCTGAAAGTCCTGGATACCCTGGTCTACCTCTTGTATCTAGCTAAGTAATTGAATCAAATGGTCTGCGATCAAATTCCCAACAAGATCATAGCCATCTGGTTTCATATGGACTCCGTCATCCCAGATCTTCTCCTTGAAGTCCTGTGCAGCGCTGTGATAGGGAACCTCTTTGTGAAGATCAAAGACATAACTAATCAGTCAGGTCAAACCAATTATCACCTTTAAGAGTTAGAATACTCACAAGCTATCAGCATCATAACTCAAGATCTGCGAGTTGAGCTCCGCCCGCGTATTATTCAACCGCTGATGCACTGCCCCGCATTCAGGGACTGTCAGAGCTAGCACATTGGCGCCGCTCTTTATAGCCATGGTCCAGGCCTGAATCAACCCGGGAAGGATCTTTTCAGCGGGGTACATGTAGCCGAGGTCACTGCGTATATCACAGATCAGTATTGAACAGAGGGTGAATCAGGAAGCGGAGATCCCCTACTTTGTCCCGCCAAGCATAATCACCCAATCATAAGATGTTGCTGCGCCTGAATCGGTTCGATCTTTCGGTTAATTTCTCATCGGTGTATGACAGAGATTGCTAGGGAATGTCGGACGCTTGAAGGCTTACATTTCTGCTCCAAGCGAGGCAGAAAACGCCCCGGGGGGCTATTGACCAAGTCGCCCGGAAGCCCGTCGACATCAATCCGGATGGTGTGGGTTGGAAATGCAGCCTTGAGGCGTTCTTCCAGTTTCCAGGCGTAAGGGTGGTAATCCAGCCCATAACTGTAGTATCCTGCTGTCAAGGAGTTGCCGAAACAGAGGATTGACAATGATTTGCTCATTGCACGGGTAGTATGACGACGACGCTAGGCGAACTTTCTAGTGGAGGGGTTCGTGTTGAGGAAAGGAGTGAATGGAACGTTGAGACCTTGAATCTTTGAAGGAAGACAAGGCTGGAAGGCTGAGGGCGGCTGCGCGGGGTAGTTTGCTGGTTCTTTCTGTTGTTGTTGTTGTTGCTGTAAGGCTGGCTGTGTGGCACCCCTCCTTCTACATACCTTCGTGACTGGTTCAATGTCTCAGTCTAAATTCTGAGATAATCCTCTTCAACCTCACTACATTGACTACAAGAGATGAACTAGGAGGTGTCTTAATTTCCACCCTCCAGCACGCACAAGTCACAGTCACACAATGACGCATACTTGTATCTGTGAACAATGGGAGATAAACCTCCCGCTCTGCCAATATGCACCTCGATGCATCGATGCAAGATAATATGGTTTATCTTGACAGGATTGTGACACAAATTAGAGCTCCCCTGCACTGGCGGCCATGCGATGGACCCAAGCGTAGTACCTGCTGAGAAGGGATTCTACATGCCGGGGATCAGTACCTATAATCAATAGGACTCCAACTACTTGTTCAAAGCTTTCATTTCTTTCTCGCCAATATCGCTTATCCCGATGCTCCAGCTATCGACACCTGCAGTCAGCAGTCATCATGGATCGCTACCGCGGAAGCCTTATCTGGCATGGTTCGATCGTCCATGGCGATCACTCAGGCACCCAGTTAACATCGCGCAGCCTGGTGGGATAGCTTTCAGCTGGCTACAGATACGCTATAGAAGCTTGCTCTAGGATGTTTCAGTCGGTTCATAATTGCAAAATGTGGTTTGCCCTCGGGCTAAGGGCCATAGCACCTGGGCATCTATAACCGATCAAGCGCTCCGATTCACTGGCTGTCAGCCACAAATATACAAAACAAACAAACTTTTTTGAGGTAACCACTAATCGGTGAATAGCGGAGAGTCAAGCTCATCAGCTGATCTACCTTTCGTGTTGTTATATATGAACACAAAATGTCTCCCTCCCTTGTTAATCTCCATTTACCAGCCCCCAGCTCAGTGCCATCATGGTCACGATGTCACAGAACATCCCAGAACGTTGCGCTGTCCTTGTGATTGGTGGTGGGCCAGGTGGCTCATACTGTGCTGCTGCTCTGGCTCGAGAGGGTATTGATACAGTGTTACTAGAAGCAGACCAGTTCCCTCGGTAAATACCGTCCTTTCAGCTCTTTCTTAGCGATCTGTTCCATTGCAAGACTGAGACTTTTTCCAGTTACCATATCGGGGAGAGCATGCTGCCATCAATGCGCCATCTGCTTCGTTTCATTGACTTGGATCAGGCTTTCGATCATTACGGCTTCACAAAGAAGGTAATTTGTTCTTCCCCCTACTAGGGACTGCAACAACTAATCAAAGGCGTGTAGTTTGGGGCATCCTTTAAGTTGGATAAAGCCAAGCGAGCTGGGAGTATGGGACTACCAGGTTTCCTTCTGTTCCTATTGCTAATAGGTCTCTGTGGTGTACAGATACTGATTTCCTCGCCGCTGGGGGGCCCGACAACTACGCGTGGAATGTTGTCCGCTCTGAGGCTGACTATTTGATGTTTCAGCACGCAACGACATGCGGCGCAAAGACTTTCGACGGTGTCAAGGTCAAGTCTATCCAGTTCGCTCCGGATGCGTATCCTCAGCTTGGCAAGCCTGTTTCCGCCTCCTATGTGAGTCAACTAGACGGGTCTCGTGAGGTCAGAGAAATCGCCTTCGACTATCTGGTCGACGCGAGTGGTCGAAGGGGTTTGCTTAGCACCAAGTACCTCCATAACCGCCGATACAACGAGAGTCTCAAGAACATCGCCCATTGGGGATACTGGCAAGGAGCTGAGCCTTATGCAAAGGATACGTCCCGGGAGAATCAACCTTTCTTCGAGGCATTGCACGGTAATCATATGTTTCCCCTCCATCCTTCCTCGTCGCGACACTAACCGATCTTGCCTCAATCATTAGACGAAAGTGGCTGGGTTTGGCTTATTCCTCTGCACAATGGGACCGTTTCGGTGGGAATTGTGAGAAACCGCAAGACTTGGACTGTGAAGAAGCGCGAGTCTGGCTTGGGGCAGGAGGAGTTCTACCATCACACGCTGAACCTGGTACCGGAAATTCAGCGTCTGCTTTGTAAAGCAGAGCTCATCAGCCCTATCAAATCAGCTTGTGATTACTCCTACAGCGCCTCTACGTATGCAATGCCGCATGCTCGCATTGTTGGTGATGCAGGATGCTTCATCGACCCTTACTTCTCGTCGGGCGTTCACCTGGCCCTGGTCGGTGGTCTTTCGGCTGCCACAACTATCTGTGCTGCTTTGCGTGGCGACTGCGACGAAGCGCTGGCTGCATCCTGGCACTCTGACAAGGTTTCCGACAGCTACATCCGTTTCATGCTCGTGGTTATGAGCGCGTACCAGCAGATTCGCAGTCAATCGAAACCGGTCTTGAGTGATCTTCACGAAGACAATTTCGACCGCGCATTCAACATCATCAGACCCAGTAAGCCTGTTGCTCCTTCCTTGTCTAAATCATGCTTTTCAACGCGCTAAATAACGCATGTGTAGTCATTCAGGGAACCGCCGATGTCAGTCCGGATAACATAGCCCAGGAAGAGCTAGATCAGACTATCAAATTCTGTGCTGCTGCCCATGGATCGGAGGATGAAATTCGTCATCATGTGAGAAAGCTATTGCGCACTGAAGACACCCTGAACATGGACAGCTTCAGTACGGATGAAATCAATGGCTTCGTGCCGAATCTCAAGCAGGGGAACCTGGGCTTGATCAAAAGTGCTGCCTAGCTGTGAGATTGGTTGTACTGTTGGATGTGTCCATTGTTGTCATTCTTCGGTTCTTGGTCTTGCCATTGAACTTGGTTAGTGACTCGAGTTGAGCATGTACTGTGCAATGGAATTTTCCGAGCTGTCAAAATTGTCCGGTTTTTGTACACTCTGTACCTATCTTCGCAGGTAACTGTGTGTTTAAAGTAACACTGTTTTGCTTCCTGACTCCCCCGGAGCGTGATAAACTCACGATATGATCCTTGTAGGCTTTTTGACTCGCTATAAATAGTGTTTGAACTGTTTTCCCCACAGGAATTTACTCATAGCAGCATTTCGCATCTATGGTCATGATTGTAAAGTACTATCTACTAACCTCAACCCTGAATACGAGCAATCCCATCTCGTTACCAGTCCATTATCCAAGGGTTATACACTAAAAGCATCCCAAAGTACAATGAGCTAAAGCATGAACCTTTTCATAGCTTTATTGCTCTGATCATGTATTCATAATCTGCTTGATACCCTCAATCGGCGACGCAAAAAGACGACCAAGAACTAAACCACAAACCCCACCCCTCGAAAAGAAAGGCCCACCACACCCCACACAGGTCATCAAAATCCGCAAAACAAGACAGTAGACCAAATAGAATAGTCAGTCAATCTTCGCAAGCTCAATCTCTCGTCCTAAGCCCCTCATGCTGGCCCCGGAGGTGATGGTTCCTGTTACTACTAACATTCGTGGAGGTGGTGCCGGCTCATCCGGTCCGAGAGGGAGGGCATACCTAAATCTACAAAGCAGAAATGCCATTAATCCTGTGGTCATCAACGGACAATTGCCGTCAAGTACAGGGGACCTGAAATACCAGGGTGGCAGAGCATTTCCATGACATGATGCAATTCATCTTCATTTTTCGGAGTATAGGCGATGCGGACGTTGGCAACAGGCAAGCTATTTCATATGCTTTGTTAGTTTCTCTATGCATTGTGGAGCATGCTAGCTAGCAAAGAATTGGGAGTAGTCTAAGCTTTGGAGTGAAGGGTTGGATGGTGTAAGGCTAAGATAAACGTTGGGAAGGCGAGACATTTTGTGGGAGTCACGCCCCCCTTAGAGAAGAGATAACTCACGAAACATACTGTCGGTCGTCGCGTGCGAACATTCGCAGCGCACAGTGCCGCCCGAGCCGAGCGCCAGCAAGGATCAACAGAGCAAATGCTGGTATGGAAGCGATGAGGATTATCATGTCAAGGTAGGTCAGGGCCATTTCGGATGGGACAGGGAGGGGAGGAGGCAAGCTGAGGACGATGGCTGATTTTTGAGACAGGTGTTGAGAATGGACGAGCACTTGGATATTGCAAACTGGAGGTTCAAGACTTTTTGTGGGAGAGTGAAAGTTATCGGAAGTGTTTTTCAGGATGAAGTGATCAAGCCACGATTTTATCAGTTTCAAGGCGGACGCAACGGGCGAGCGAAGACGGATTGAAGAGTATGCGACTGCTTCGGTTGGGACTTTCGATCAACCCACTTGCAACTCATACGTGGATGGAAGGAGAGACTGTGCCTGCATGAGTTACCCAGTCTACCGAGTTGTGAGAAATGTAGTGATTTCTTCGGTTTGTGAGACGAGAAAGGATGTGAGGTAGAGCCAGATTCTGTTGTAAGGAGCGCCTCTGAGGACAGAACATTATATGGATCAAGACAAACGAGTAGTTGATTTCTGTACACGACCACTCGACACGGCAGCTGCGAACCATTTGTCGCCGATTGTGATAATGAGCAGGATCGGGGGACTCAAGCAAGCCTAGACAAACTGAACGGAAGTATGCTTTTGGAGTGATATCGAAGAGAGCGAGGGAGCTTCTGTTCAAGGTCAAGGAGGTCTTTGACCTGAGAAGGTACAGGTGCTATGCATTAGCTGTGAAATAGTTAGATATCACTTCTCTCTCCTAGTTTTGAGATCTTGTTGTGCCAATTTTCAAGTATGATAAGCACTGCTTCTCTGAGACCTGTGCCGTGACCATCATACTCGGTGAAGATAGATATCGTCCTGATGGTTGTCATTGCATTGCACGTCCGCTGGTTTCAAGTCCATCAATGATTGTTGAGACACGATGGCCTGGCTTGAAAGTTGGAGCACATAGAGTTAATCTCTATAATGTACTTGGTTCAGGAGTGTAGGAACACAGTGTCCATGGGCGAATCATAAGGCACGTGCAGCAGGGTCGGATATCTGATAGTGGCTTCCGCTCAACTTCTTCGACTCCATGACTGATTGCTCCAACTGGTTTTGCTACCGCCCCAGGTGGCTCGCATGACCCCCCCTTTACTAACCTTATACCAATCTCTCCTACCGAGCCAGAAAACCGCTTCCCTCGATTTGTTGCACACTTCCACCACGACACCGGCTCCAGTCTTCCATCCCTCTCGCGCAACAACCCTTATCTCTCCGGCGCCTCAGCCACATCCCCATAGTAGCCTGGACTTGAGGCCATCACGACCCACTACTCGTCAGACACATTGGTGATGTTGCGAGCCACTATGAATGATCCTCTTGACTCTGAGAATGAATACGTTATCTACTTCAATCTGACTCTGTTCCAAGAGAATAAATCTGATCAGAAGCGCTCACGAGATCCAGCCGAATGTGTCCTGTGTTCTTATCAACACGGACACGTCCGAGTTCTTCGGCATCTAACCTTCATCCACCATAAATCATTTCCGTCTAATATTAGGCTTTATCTCCTAGAGTACGATAACGCCTGCAAGGAACATTCTACCGATCGACAGAAAGCCCTACACGGGTATTCAACTGCAGACGTAACAGGAGAGCATTGTGATGTCATCCCCGCGCTTAGGCCACCAAAGAAAGTTTGTTTCTGTTCATCGAGTCAATCCCAATGCCTAGGCGAGATCCTACTATGGAAGGAGTCTGCACAGCAGGTCTTACAGCGAACGGACAATTATGTGTTCGAGGGTCAAAAAGCAAAACGAAATGAGCCCAGCCCGGCTCGATCAGGCAACCTTACGATCTGGAGTCGTACGCGCTACCAATTGCGCCATAGGCCCATTTGTTGATATTTAACTTGGGTTTGATGTTCCGTGTTCCTATATGTGAGATACGCTCACCAGAATCCCGATCTAAAATTTGCGAGAACGCGACGAAAACTATAGCATTGTGGTCGGTGAACTATACTATGGCGGATATAAACCTGACTCGGCAAATCGCTTACCGGGAATAGCATCTCGCAACATCGATCGCACTCTTCGCAGCACTTGAAGGTATTCCAGTAGGTATTGAATGAAAGGAATAGCCTGCAGTTTGTGGTCGAGGGTGTTGGAACTTGCACGCCCCGGGCATTGCCTTCGCGATTCGATGTCGGTTTATGAGGGACCGGAATCTTCGGTCATCGCATGGTGTGCAAGTGATACATGGATTGCAGGCCCGTGCTTCTATGGTTGCCTGCACGGGTGCCTGCGTAACGCACATGGGGTCGGATGGCATCGACCTTAGACGATCCACACGTGCAGGAGTACACTGGGATTTTCGAGTGGTCTTTCCTCGGTGGCGAAGACGAGGGAATCTCGAGCAAAAAGAATGGATGAGCCCAGCCCGGCTCGATCAGGCAACCTTACGATCTGGAGTCGTACGCGCTACCAATTGCGCCATAGGCCCATTCTTGATGACTAAACACTCATATGATGCATTATGAACGCTGCACAATGAGGACGTTGTCTTGTCCTGACTCGTTGTGGTCTGGGTTGGACGGCCAGAAGTGCAATGAGACATGATGGTAGTATGATCCTGTTGCCCATGATATAGAGTCTCCGCTGTAATGCTACCAGAGGTTGCGGCACTGCACACGATATCATAGAATAGAGTGATAGCTTCATAGGTCCCTCGCTGGTCGGCTGTCCTGTCTGTGTTGCCTACTAGCGGTTGGGCGTATTCTTTATTTTGAATGCTTAAGATCCAAAGCTCTGGGATCTTGTGGTATTGGTTTATCATTGTTAGTCTTGATCTCCGATTCGGCGACAGGTTCTGGTAATTAATATCAAGCATATCAGCTTTGCTGCACGGGATGCAAACAGATATACCAGAGCGTCTACAAGGGCAGAGCTTACGCACATGGTCGTGCAACCAAATAACTTTTTTCCCTTCAATGACCAGACCGATATCGAGCAAGAATTTTTAAGAGACACACATGAAACCGCAGGCTAATATTGCTGAGCGCCAGCCTGCTCGCACTGCCGTTTTGTGGACACTGTAGATCACGAGTACCGCAACGACATAGCAAGGAAGTCAAGTCTCGCTCGAATAAAACATCTGGAATGAATGAGCCACAAGCAACGGTCCATCCACATCTCGGGGCTCGAATCGATGATTACCTACCGACTGACAATCGTATGAAGTCATCACAGCAGCATATGGCGTGGGGCGAGGGACCGAGCCACCTGCGACGTTTGCAACTCCGAACTCATCATGTCATGGATAGTTGAGCGAGTGAGGACAATGGAACGAGCAGATCATACAGCACAGAAAAGCTGGCGCTACTGGGTCGCAACGGCGAAGCAGAATCGCCCAGTGGACGAAGCTTGTGAGTGTTATGGGTGTTACTGGTTCTCGAAACCGTACCTGACAACAAGATACATAGCTCCGCGTCTGACATTGCATAATCCTTACGCAAGACAAACACTTATTATTCGACTAGAGAGGCTATTCATTTTGACACCCATGAAAAAGACCGAAAAAGAACCTGAGTTTGAAGACGAGACAAAAGAAAGCAAAAAGAAATGAGCCCAGCCCGGCTCGATCAGGCAACCTTACGATCTGGAGTCGTACGCGCTACCAATTGCGCCATAGGCCCACATGAGTGACATTTTATTGCTTACCAAAACTCATGACTCAATAACTCCGTGACATGTCACTAATCATCACTTTCGTCGACTAGTTACTCGACATTGAGAGTACCTCTGGTCAAATGTCAGACAAGTCGAGTTCCTTTCTTCTACCACATCTATCCGTAGACACGGTATGATCATTCAGCAGATTTCAAGTGGCCCTGAACCAGCCGACCACGAGCTGTAAGACAGGGAGACAACGTTCGTCCCCGAGAGATTGAGCACGCCAGTCTGGCCCTTTTGTTTGCTCGCATCAGCTGTTCATCTCGATTTGCGAATGCCAATTATGACTAGCGAGTATCGTCGCACTGACTACGTGACAATAGCCTTGATATTGAGTGCAACTCCTGCTCTCGCGATGGTCACCAGTAACTACGCAATGCAGACTAACACGCACTCGAAAAGGCCGAACCCAACCACCCCCCTCGAACACTAATGCGAGCGAACACTAGATCGTCTTATCACAGACAGAGGGGTACCCTCTTCCGTTATGCGACACCAACATGATTGTGCTGCAGAGGTCTACTCCATTGTGAGTTTCCTAGGACCAAGCACCGACCTTGAAGCAGAACGCGATCAATTCCAAGCATCCGACATCAGCTGCCGACGGCCACAATGAGGCTTCGAGTCTTGGTGCTTGTTACATTTACTTGATTTCGTGAGTCACTATGTGGAGTATGGTGGAATGTCAATTTATACTTGGAGCGAACGGACCAATAGAGGAGCTTCACCTTCGTATTCATCGGATCAGGGACCGGAGAATCGGCATGCAATAATCAGTCTAGCAGAGCGTTCCAACACAGCGCAGCTCACAAGTCTACCGCCTCAAGCACAGACATACGCCGAAGGTCCCTGTTCTTGCGAAAGCTCAGGAGAACGCGAATTCTCCTGTGTCAGCCATTATCACCATTCTTCACAAGCTTGGAAAATCTTAGCACACCTGAATTACATGGAGAAAACAGTGCAAACTTGAACCCACCATGAGACCAATAGCCCTATCTCGCTGCATTCCTGCTGTTGGAAGCATTGCATGTCAAGATGCGGTCTCTTCCAAACAGACAACCCCAGAGACCAATTTCCTGTTCGGGTAATACGAGGGTTCGCCCGCGGCTGCAATCCAAAGTAAGACATCCGCATTTCTGATCAACAATGATTGGCCATACCAGAATTGGTTTAATGTGCTGTGGCCAACCCATGGGGCCACTCATAACACCCGTTGGGTCATCCAAGGGTATTGATGGAGCTTGGCTTATCTGATCTGATTAGATTGTTCGCTTTGATCGTCGCAGACGAGGAGCGGCCAAGCAACTTGGCAACGAGGGGTGGAAAGAAGAAGTGTCCCAATGGAGTATGTGGGTACCAAGAATCCTATAATACTGGACGAGAGAGCCAAGGGATTCATGGCACCAAGACAGTGCTCGGATCCTTTCTCTCGTCGACTTGGCTGTTTTCCAGCAAGGCTGTATAAGGCGGACTCAGTCAGTCCTCTAAGACTTTGCTCGGCAACATCTGATAGTCTTGAATCTTCCATGGGCCCATGGTGTCCGTCATGATAGGCTCTAAGCAAAAAAGCTCTTTGCGCAGACGGCCCTATAACTGTGGAGATCATCATTTGATTCCTTATCTGATTCGACTAGAGCTATTGGGGCTGAATCAGATAACAGATTTTTTCATGCTCATAGAATCTAAGGGGCAGCATCCGCGAGGATAAATATGTGTCTTCGTCCTACGTCCCCAATGCACTCTTATTGCGGAGGGTAGCCTGAATCTAGTTCAATCACACAATGGCGGACGACAAGATCACTAATGTCACCAATGCAAGAGCAGACTCAGACGTCGACCATGAAGCCCTCAAGACCATTCCGGACGGGGAACAGTCTCAGGGCGTCTCCCGCATGGAGGCCGTCTACCGCGAAGCCAGGTCCAACCGAAAGTCGCTTTGGCTAATCGGCATCTCGGTCCTCGTGTGTGCATGGGCATATTCACTGGATTCTTCTACAACCTCGTACTACTCCGTCGATGCCTCGTCCTATTTCAAGCAGCACAGCTCGGTACTATCGACCCTCTCCATTGCAACCAGCATCATCAGCGCTGTGAGCAAGCCCTTCATTGCGAAGATCTCCGATATCACCTCACGCCCCTACACATATATCTTAACCCTCTTCTTCTATGTCATTGGATACATCATCGCCGCAACCTGCAAGACTGTTTCTGCCTACATTGTCGGCGAGGTCTTCGTCGCAATCGGCAGCTCGGGCTTGGACCTGACCAACGACATCATCGTGGCGGACCTGACCCCCTTGGAGTGGCGCGGTTTTGCCAGCTCGATGCTCTCGACTCCGTTCATCATCAACACCTGGTTTGCTGGCAAGATTGTAGATGCAATCGATGGCCGAGGTCAGTGGCGATGGGGCTACGGCATGTTCGCCATCATCATGCCCGTGGCGCTGGGTCCAGCCGTGGCGACCCTAATACACCTTGATCGCAAAGCCAAGAAGCATGGAATCGTTAACATTGCTTCCTCGAACACAGCACGACGTGCTGCTCGAGACCTCGCTGCAGCTGAGGGCCACAGTGTACCCAGGGGAGGGGTCGTCGCGCCTGCTGCTTCATCCACGCAATCCTGGATGGATGCCCTTAAACACAACCTGGAAGAGATCGACGCCTTCGGTCTGATTCTTTTAGGGTTTGGGTGGTCGCTTTTGCTTCTGCCGTTCTCTCTCAAGACCTACGCCGATGGCGGCTGGCGCAACCAATCCCTCATCGCCATGATGATAGTGGGTGGACTGCTATTGATTGCCTATATCATCTATGAAATGAAGTGGGCGCGTGTCCCTAGCGCCCCTCGTCGACTCATCTTCAACAAAACCTTCACCATGTCCATCGTTATTGATAGTTTCTATATGCGTACGTTATCCCCGGACAGCCCCCCGTCATCTTCCTATATGCAAATCACAACACTAACCCCTCCCGCTTTCCCGCCATGACCAGTCGCCGGAAACATGCGCGGCCTCTACTGGAGTTCCTACGTCTACGTCTCAAAGCCCTGGTCCTACCAGAACTGGGTATACTACAGCAACACCCTAACGCTAGCCCTCTGCATTGCAGGCCCCCTGACCGGTCTCCTCCAACGCTGGACGCACCGCTACAAAACCATCCAGATCACGGGCCTGTGCATCAAGATCATCGGCATGGGCATTTTGTTGGATGGCCACCGCGCGACCGCCAACACCGCTGCGATGATCCTGTCCATGATCCTGATCGGCTTCGGCGGGTCGATGTCCGTCGTCGGGTCGCGCGTCGCCTCCCAGGCCTCGGTGCCGCACCAGGACGTCGCCCTCGCCATCTCGCTCCTGTCCCTGTGGTCGAAGATCGGCAGCGCCATCGGCTCCGCCATCGTGGCCGTCATCTGGGCCGCGCAGATGCCCCGCCAGCTGCGCGCGCACCTGCCCGCGACAGCCACGCAGTCCGACGTGCGCAAGCTGTTCGGCAGCCCCAAGTCCATCCGCACGCTGTACGCGATCGACGACCCCATGCGCGTCGGCGCCGTCGAGGCCTACCGCCGCACTCTGTACTACTGTCTGGCCCCCGCGCTGGCGCTGGCCTTCGTGCCGCTCGTCGCCGCCTGGTTCCAGACGGATTTCTTCCTGGGTAAGGCGCAGAATGCGGTCGTGCCGGTCGGGAATGATGGTTTGGTTCTGCGGGAGGAGGAGAGGGAGAGGGAAAAGGAAAGGGCCGGGGTTAAGGGGAAGAGGGAGGCTTTCTTGAGGTTTTGGGCGGGGAGGTAGAAGCCCCCCCCCCTCCCTTTCTTTTCCTCTTTGGTTCTGTGTCCTGTTGGTTTGTGAGTGATGCATGCGTTTGTGGATGGATTGTTCGTTTGGTTAAAGTAAAGTTGTCTGTGATTTCGGATAATGATAAGTGGGCCATGGGAATGTGGTGGGGATAATAGTGTGGGTTAAGATCGAAGCTGTGCAGTTCAGATCTGAAGATGACTGCGGATGCTGCGTACTCGAGAAGTAGCAGCAGCAGCAGCAGCTACAATCAGACCCAGAGTCGCTCAGTTCAGTGGGCCGCTGGGCTCCGAGTGGTCCCAGTAGATAGTCGGATTCTCAATCCGAATCGGGCTTTAAGCCCACTGTGCCAGCGAACACGTCGGCCTGCGCTTTCTTCCGTACTGGGGCAGAGTGACAGGCTGCCAGGCATTACGAACCCCCATGCAGAAGGTGTCACTGCGGGGCAAAAATCTCAAACGGGACTATCTCATAAACAAAGTGAATCGTCGCATTCTGATTTCATTATACATAAAGCAAAGAAAGGTTCAAAGTCGCCCGGTCGAATCAACCGAAATAGAAAAACGGCGAAATATGACACCACAGAAGATGGAGAGACACCAACACCAGGATCAACAGAATCACGGGGTTATTATATTTGAAAGAGACCCTATCAACCAGTCTTAGTATACATACATGGAACGAAGTAATCATAGCGAGAAAAGGAGGCAGGCAGCAACAAAACAAGTTCAATTTCATACACAAGCCAGAAAAGAAAAAGGACATCAACGATTATTGGCATTGCTCATATCTTGCTTTGGTTCTTCTCTTCATTCGCTCATCTCTTCTTGTCCACCATAACATGCATACAAATAACAATACATTCGTTTATTAAGTGTGAGTGTGAGTGTGAGTGTGTGTTTTTTGTTTTTGTTTTTTTTTTGTTCACTTACACCTGGGCGGTGCAATCCACCGAGTTGCAGCACTGGTCCTTGCCGTTCTTCCAGATGCAGTTGTTGTTGGGGTGACGGACGTCGCAGGGCACCTCGGTGATATCGATGGGGATGCACGACTGCTGGTCATAGGTCGTGAAGGTGAAGGCAGGGGTCAGGGCGGGGTAGGCAACGCCCAGACCGTTGTCGTATCCGGTCAGGCAGTACTTGCCGCAGGGCCACTTGGTGAGGGAGAACTCGCCCGCCTTGTCCCAGTGCACGGTCTTGCCGATCTGGCCGCCGTTGTGGGCGTTGTTGAGCCACAGCCCAGGCTGCTGGCCGTCAACAGGGTTGCCGTGCAGGTCCTTGATGCGGAAGCCGTCCTCGGGGTTGACGGGGAGGTTGGGCGTGCAGACTTCGTCCTTGCAGAGCTGGAACTTGCCGAACTTCTGCTGGAGGTCGTCCTGAGCGGCGAGGTAGTAACCCTCAGCGTTGAAGCCGAGACGCTCGGCGTTCTCCCAGGTGAAAGTGTAGCACTTGCCTGCGGAAGACCATCATTTTAGCTACTTGAAACTTGAAAGGATGGGAGATTCCAGTGATTGTAACTTACCAGTGGAGATACCGGAGGTGCAGGTACGCTCACAGTTGCCCAGAGCGTTCTCGAAGTATCCGGCGGGGCAGACGCACTTGTTGTTCACCAGCACTTTGCCCTTAGTACACACAGGCTGAGGGGCCTTGCAGACCTTGCCATCGAAGATCTGGCTGATAGGGCAGCAGCGGTACCCAGTTCTGTTGGAGCCAGCGAGCTCGTGGCCCTCACCGCAGCAGTCAAAGGCAGTGTCAATGCTGCCAATAAGCTGCTGAGAGGGGTAGCAGCAGGCAGCATACCGTCCAGACGCGCTGAAGGTGAGGTGCTTGCCGGACGCGGGAGCGCAACGGAAGTACTCCTCGAAGTCGGAGCGGGGGTCGGAGAAGACAATCTGATCCCCATGGCGGACACCAGTGCCGTCCATCTCCGCGATCTGCACATTGCGGGCGCCGAGATCGGTCCGGATCGCGGCGTTAGTGCCAGCGGCCTGCAGCAGGAGGGCCACAAGGCTCCAGGAAGTAACAGCCTTCATTGTGTGTATGTGAAAGGAGAAGGACGCGAAGAGGAATAGAGGACTGATTCGCACAGAGGAGGGATGACGGACGAGGATCGTCTCTTATTTAATTTTTCCCCGGGCAAGAGCCTTCCAGCGCAGAAGCATTTTCACCATGGCGGGCGAGACTCTGAGCTTCGCATTTCAGCTAGGTGGATCATCGAGCTATGGTGGGCCTGGTGAAAGTTTTTCATGATGGAGCCCGTCCCATTTGTGCGTTCGAGGCCAGACATGGAGGACCCATGCCCGGAAGGGAAAGCAGTAAGTATCTCAAGGTCTCAACCTCAGTCACCGCTCCTCGATAACGATCAGACCAGTGCGTCGATTGACTCACCGTGTATCGCTCAGGTAAATACCTGGAGTGTGTTCAGCTCCGCTGTGATCAGCCACCGGGGTCGGAAGCTTTGAAGATGGAACGAGCTCGTCTCCACATTGAGGAATCTGCCGGGATAGAATCAGGTCTGATATTGCGATGAAGGGTTGATGACCTCATTGCATGAGTTCTGTCGTGGACAACTCTCCCCATCTTTAATGCGAGAGCAACATGGAATCGGGAAGAGTAAAGCAAGCTCTCCCCACATATTGCTTCTCCTCCCAGACTCTGCATGCAGGTTGACAGATTTTCCACCACGGATCTGTCGGCCAGCCGGGTGGCGATGGAGAGATTCTCGAGAGCGAGCTAGACCAGACTAGACTATACAAACTAGTCGATACATACTACTCCATTAGGATTAGATCAAGTAGGTCTCGTCCTTGGCGTTGGTCAGGTGTTTTAGCCTCGATTTGCCCTCTCCGATCGGTTGTTTTGACCACATATTGATACGGGCGTGAAGTCCAAGTTGTCCAAGTGATGAAGCGCGGTGGGTCATTCAGGTCTTGCCTGGTGTTGATCTCGATATCTTTATTATCGAATCAATCGGCAAGTCCGAAGCAAGTGACCCCTAGAATTCGCATGCATTTATCGCAGCTGGGGGAAATTGAGTTCGACAGCCATTCCTTGGAGGCTTCTCGAAACACGGCAAGGTTTAGCGATCCAGCCGACCAGACTGCTTTTGTGGGGAGGGACGAGAAGCTACTTGGCAATAGTGGAAGATCTCTCGAATTGGCGGTGTGTCGTGTCAGTGGGAAAGGTCTGTCTGCCTGTTCGAAAATGTGAATTCTGAGCCCGAAATCTTTATTGAATGGGGGGGGGTTTTCGATTGACATTCTGTCATTCATCTCGAAAAATATGCAGTTAGACTTTGTCCTCATGAAATGGAGGTTGTGTGAAAATATTTGCCTCACTGCGCCTCTTTTTTACAAAGCCACAATCTGGAGTGCTCGTGTCAGTTAGTCTCGTTCATGGAGCCTTTCGCTCCATGCCGGCTCCACCCGCTGCATCTTCCCGTCCGTGTTTTGGCTATGCAGGCATATCTTGCCGATGCAGTCCGTAGATCCTCAACGTTTCGCCACTCTCATTGAGACTCAGGACAACAACAGAGAAATCTTCGGTAGGCCTTGGGCCAGCACATCAATTTCACGAATTGTCAGCGACTCTGGAATATTATTCAGGTCAGACCAATTGTAGGCTTGGACTGCCATATGGCCATGATATTACACAGAGACGTTGTTGGGGCTATAGAAATCGAGGGACCAGACGACCGTGAGGCGAGATGCGAGCAGTAGGAGGGGAACGATAAATCTGGAGTCTGATTGCCAAAGGTAGGAGAGTTACATGGGCTGATACAATTGGTTGGGAGCCATCTAGGTCAAGCTGGGAAAGTGCTTGACTCAGGTTGGAAAGCATGTATTGTATGCAAGTCCAGAGCGTGGTGAAACATAAAATGGTCGAGACTCGCGAGATATTCCCCGGTCGGACTATAAGTATTCCTCGAAGACAAGGATAGAAGGAAGCCTCTCTCGTTTGGCTCTTGCAGGCGACTTCGCATTTTGACCCAATCGTATAAAATAGCCACATCCCGAATCGTCACCTGTCTCGTTCAGTAAGCAACATTGCTTTGCATTGCAATGGACGGTGATCAGTGCCAATGGAGCAGCTGGTGGTGAGAGTGCTAAGTCATCAGCTGCATCTCCTCCATATGGCCAACTGGGTCACAAGCCCTCACGCCTCGTTCATAACTTTCCCATAGCCATCGATGCCACGATGTGTTGTAGGGGCTGAGGCGGCCATCGGGTGTACTAGGACAATGTCAATGGACCATAGCTAGCTTTAATGACAGCTGATACAAAGGGACTGTACTGGAATTGGCACAGTTCAGAGCTTGGAATCAAGACTGCGGTGGGCGGGAGTTTGGACAGAAGATCGATCAAAAATGAGATGATGGGTTCTTGATGGGTTGGTTCTTGCTTGACTGCCTAAGGCTACAAGAACTGTAAAGTTACCCGGCTTACATCAGACCAGGCCAAACATTCGTTCCCTGAAGGAATGCAACAAACAAGCAAGAACGGACAGCACTTCCTTTTCAGTCTCACTTCATCTTGCTTTCATACCTCCTGCCACCGCTACATTCATGCGAGGTCGATAGCAAGCCTGTCGCCCCCAGATGCTACTGCTGTTGTACTGCACGGTTGTATTTGTGTCCTCCGCCCGATTCTAAATCCAAATCGTACCCTACTCTTCTTGCGCCAGTGTACAGTACAGTAGGTCGCGCTGGTGACCAACTGCAGCCAGACACATCGTGCGATATTTTCATTGGGTATATATCCTCGAATGTCTCACGAGTATCATCTTCAATTCCGGGAATTCAAAAGTGTCAGGTGCACACAGATGCACAGATACGCAGATATGCAGATAAGAACCCCTCACGGACTGGACCTCACGCCGTGGCAGGCCTCGGCTCTCGCTCCTTATCTTCCCCCTCCCCCGCGTACGAGTGCCCAGACACCTGGTCAAAGACATTTCTCGCCACGAATCCTTTATATCATCGAGCCATTCGATAATACACAATGTTCTGACTTTCGAACTTCCTTCCATAACCCTAGGAACATGCGCCTGCTTCAGATTGGCTCGATTCGTATTGATGGTGGGCATTTAATATACGTGTTCGCGCGACGAAAGTCAATGGAGGCCAAGACTTCATTGGCGTTCTGTTGACGTTGGGTGGAAGGCCAAGACACGCTGCTTATCAGTCCCAAGGAAGGCTGCCCTGAACCTTCCCCACGCTCCGGTGCGGAGGGGTGTTTGCTATAATGTCGAGATTGGGTTCACATTGTGACTTGCGTCGATAACCACGTGGAGGGTAGTAGGGTCAACGAACTGGAATGCCTAGGAGACATATACTACCACGAACATGCTGGAGCGAGTGTCCAGCAGGGCTACCAGCAATCACGACAATTGTTGGTGCAAGACGTCTTACAGTGAGGTTCTTGCGTCTTTCGTCCCGCCGACCACTAGCGCGAATAGGGCTACATCGCATCCATGGCGGAATCACATTAGCCTATGCTCAGAACAAATCATCGGGCTTAGATCGTGGCCCTAGGAGATCTGGCGTCGGTGGTCCGTAGGAATCCCGTGGTAGGTTTGATTCCAAATTTGCCGCCTGCCATGCGGATGCTACGTTGACAGCATATCGATGGAGTTATCTCCCTGGCAGGTTAGCCCTGTCTTATCTTCTAGCTCATGGCACCACTCACATTGGGCATTTTACCAACGACCCTTGCCAGAGAGTCCCTCGAAAGTGCATCAAGGTGTGATGGCACAGCGGAAATTCGCGGACTGATAACGCCACTCAATGGCGTGAGTGATTTACCCTTCATTCTGCGTCCGCAGTAGTAGTCCAACCTAGACGCGGCAATGGCTCACTTACCATTTCAACTAGCAAGCTGGGCAGCCCAGACTTTCGACGGGGGCAAGGGAGGCAAATCGGGCCAAGAGCAAGAGGGGTCACAAGCTGGAAGGGGCTATCATGCTCATTTTCTTGGTGGTGTGTTACTATAGGCCTAGTGATTTAGTATGTCAGTCTAGCAGTAAGCCCAGTGGCAAGGACTAATGTGTTCCTTTCATTCGGAATGGCTCATTTCCCGGCTCTATGGTATCACGGACTCACTGATCACAACAGCGAGCTAAGGTTAGCCTCAAATTCATGTAACGTGGTGCAAGAATATAAGAGGTGTGCGTCGCCAACTCACGAAAACGGGCGACCAGCTCAAGAATCATTTACCTTCACCCCTCCTTCACCAGTGAGAGCCAGCCACCATGGCCCCTCCATTGTCCACTTCGCCCATTGATGGTGAAAGTCTGTCGGCCTCCAACTCAACCCCTGTTGAGGAGAAGACGGCCATCACTGTGCTTGGCAAAGGCGAGGAGCTCAAGACCGATGTGGACCACACCGGCCATGAGAGTGATGAAGATCCAGATGCTGTGATTATCACCGGAGCGGATGCAGCGGTGCACTTGCTGCCGCTACGTGATGATTTTGACAGTGCCCTGACCTTCCGCAGCGTGGTCCTGGCTTCTGGTTTGGCCTGCTTCCAGGCTGTCATGTACCAGATCTACACGGTAGGCCGAGAGAGATATCCCCATGAGGATTCTTCCGTGCCGCGACTGACGACAGGAATCACAGTTTAAACCCACCTTCATCACCATCCAAGGAACTTTTATCGTCCTCATCTCGTACTTTGTCGGCAATGCTTGGGCTCGTTTCCTCCCTCGTGGCGATAAATTTGAGGCGCGGTGGAGGGCACAGGGCGGCCAGGGCAAGGCTCCATGGTGGATTGCGGTCTTCAGGTTCCTCAATCCTGGACCATTTGGTCTGAAGGAGCACGCCATCTGCTCTATCACTGCCACCTCAGCCTCGAATGCTGCCGCCAGTGTGCAGGTCTTTGCGGCCCAGGACCTCTTCTATAACCTTCCTCTGAGCGCGACCACCGTCATTCTAAGCACCATCTCAATTGGTCTATTTGGCTATGGTCTCTGTGGTATCATGCGTCCCATAGCAGTCTGGCATCCAGAGGCCGTCTACTGGAGTACTCTACCCGTCGTCAAAACCCTGCAGGGGCTTCATTGGCAGCAGGTGAAGAATTCCAAGCCACTCCGATATTTCTGGTATGCTTTCAGCGGCATGGCTGTGTATGAGATTATCCCTGCCTACATCTTTCCATGGCTGAACTCTGTCTCTATCCCGGTATGTGGCCTTTATATTGTCCAAAAACGAGTGTTTTGCAAAGTCTGACAAGTCTCCGAAATACAGTGTTTAGCTGCCCAGAAAGCCACTGGCAATAAGGCTGCCATACTTACCAATCTCTTTGGTGGAGCAACCAACAATGAGGGTCTGGGCTTATTTACACTCAGCTTTGACTGGCAATACGTAAGATGATGCTCATTGTGTGCAATCTGTTGCAAATCTGACCGATGCAGATCACCTCCTTCCAAACCTCACTCCCTCTAAAATTGCAGATTCACCAAGCAACGGGATTTTTCGCCTGCTTCATTATCATGCTTGGTATCTATTACGGCAATGGCTGGGATTCAAAGTCACTTCCCTTCATGTCGACACGCCTGCTCCAGGCAAATGGAACAGCCTACCCCGTCGCCACAATCTTCCCTGGGGGAGTGCTTGATGAAGGCGCCCTGGAAGTCTACGGTGTTCCCAAACTCACGGGTTCATTTGCCTTTTCCATGTTTATGGCCAACGCCGCAGTAGGTGTGACCCTGTTTCGCTTGAAGTATAAAAGCTAAAAACCGCCCAGATTGGTGCTTTGGTTGCACACACCATCCTCTTTTGGGGAAGAGATATCTGGCGGACTTACAAGAGTGCGAGAGCAGGTAAATACGACGATCGGCACCACGTGCACATGGCAAAGCATTACAAAGAAACTCCATGGTGGTGGTACGCCTTCGTGCTGCTTTTTAGCTTCATCCTGGGTCTGGTCGTGGTCCTCAAGGAGAACGTCACCCTTCCTGCCTGGGCATATGTCGTCTCGCTGATAGTCGGAATTATCTTCGCGCCATTCGTGAGTGTTTCCATAGCCCAAACAGTTGAAAGAGTCTGACTGACAATCCTGCAACAGAGTACTATCCTCTATTCCAAGTATGGCAATGGAATCGCCACCAACAACCTGTCAAAGATGTTGGCTGGCCTGATGATTCCCGGCCGCCCTGTTGGAAACATGTACTTTGCTGCGTGGTCACACAATGTCATTTCCAATGCTGTGACCTTGTCCAATGACCTGAAGATGGGCGAATACCGTGAGTGTCACTAGAGTCCCACGACCACGCGGAAATTAATGCTCTGTCTTAGTCAAAATTCCACCCCGTGTCATGTTCTTGACCCAGATCTACGGCACGATTCTTGGTGGCTTCATCAACTATGCTGTCATGATCTCGATTGTGAGCGGCAACCGCGAACTTTTGGCAGACAGCAACGGAGACTCGTCCTGGAGTGGCGCAACCATGCAATCATACAATACCAACGCGACCTCTTGGGCCCTGGCATCCTACCTCTATAGGGCTGGTAAGCAATACAGTATCGTTCCCGCTGGGTTGGCAATCGGTGCTGCTGTGGTTGCCGTTCACAAGATTATTCATAAGGTGAGTAGCTTTGTCAACACGAAGACCATCCCCTGTTCTGTCCTAGCCGGGAACAAAACTGACATACTCATGCTTCATTCTAGCTTGTTCCACGGATCGGGAAATTTGACGTCTCCGAGATCAACATGCCGCAATTCATTCAGTACGCGGGCTATATCCCTTACAATCAGAGCCAGACCTGCATCCTCTTCAGCTGGGTCATCGCGGGCTTTTACGTCCAGTACTACCTCCGCAACTTCAAGCCCCGGGTCTTCAAGGACTACTCGTACCTGATCACTGGTGCCTTTGACGGAGCTAGCTTGACGGTCGTATTCATCCTCTCGTTCGCGGTGTTCGGAGCTGGAGGACCAGCGCATAACTTCCCGACATGGTGGGGCAACAACGTGAATGGATACTATGACTGGTGTCCTTCCTCGGACTAGGGTCGCTTCCGTTGGGGTGGAGGAGACATGAAGCTGTAATTAATACCTGAGCATCCGGTCAAGTGCTGTTTTCCGTGCTCGAACGAACATCTCTACTTTGATGCATACTTAGGCTACATATTAATGGGGCTAATGCCTGCCTTGTCTGGATGCGCTAATAATATCAACATGATACCCATGGCATTATCTTCTTAACTCGTTTGTCTCTGCGGAAGTAGCTTCACTCAATCCTTGCGGCTTAGCCTTGATGCTCCTCCAAACATCGGGTTTTGCGCTGCCTCCCTTCCAAGCTATCCCTTCCTTCCGCCTTCTTTCATCCCCCATCTGCCTAGTAGCTGCCCCAGCCGTCTCCACAAGCGTTCTTAAATCACACGAGCCAGTTCTACTCCAGCTCCGCTTCAATTATACCCTGTCCATCCCCTGGAGGAGGCCAAAATTTCACTACTCGGAAGCCTGCAGAACCGACCAAGCTCCTCCACCGGTCCGCCGTACGTTCCATGCTATTGCAAAAATTCAACATCTCCCAGTCCCACATAGCAGGCAGCATAGCACAGTCTCTATCCGCAAGCACAAACTCCTCGATGATCAATTTCGAGTATCCCTTCTTCATGGCCGCTCCGACCTGCCTCAGGATCCGACGACAATCCTCATCCGACCAATCGTGCAGGATGAATTTCAGATAGTAAGTCCGCGCACCTACAGGGGCACTTTGGTTAGCAAGTTGATAAATTGGTTTGAGTGACCATAACTGACCTTGTATCGGCTGCTGCTTGAACAGATCGAAAGGTATGTGTTCAATCTTAGGGTGAACCACTGCACTATCTAGAACCTGCGGGAGATCCTCCAGTACCAATTGACCTGGTGCATTGGGGAATTTGGTCTGGAAGGCAGCAATATCATGTCCACGTCCTCCTGCTACGTCTACAAGGAGCACATCAGTGTCACCCTTTTGGAAACCGTCGATCAATTGCTCCTGAACCGGAAACCACTCCAACCAGCTGGGTCGGCTGCCCCGATCCGCTTCCATGAACGTGTTGCAGGCGTTCAGGTATCCCGATTTTGTGGCGAGCCACTCCCAGATGATAGTGTCCATCTTCTCCGCATGGTGGATTGCACCGTTCAAAGGACCCGAGGGATTTTGGTACTCAGTCATTCGCAGAAACTCCGGGACTTTGGCGAGCGTGGGCATCCCGACATCGAAGCTATAACATACAATCTCGCGTTGTCAGATCACTTGCTGTCAGAGGAGGCTAAAGATTACGCACATGAACTTCACCACCGCCAGACTCAAACGGTCGGTCATTTGCCTCGTCATTGCCGTTGGGGTATACACTCTCACATCGTGCTCCGCCACATAGTCGATGCCGGCCAAAATGCGCAAGACGCGTTCTATGTTATATTGTCAGAAAGCTCAGGGAAGAGGGAAAAGATTTGCTCGCCTGTCAGGATGGGATCAGCGCCCTTGACAGCCGCCAAATCCTCCAATGTCGTCGGGCAGTTCCTTTCGCTTAAGGTGGTGAAAATATTCAGATCGATGGCGATCCTAACACACATCACATGGGTGGGCTTATTAACATTAGACACCTTCAACCTGGCTATGGGGACTGATTTCATACTGAATAAGCGAGGTTGTACACCGCATCCTGCGGCTTTTGGAGTGCAGTCACCAGTTCCTGTGCCGCGCGCAGAGCTTTCAGGCGGTCGGCCTCGCCATGAGAATCGTTGAACGTGTTTGCTAACTGATTGACTCGCCTTAGCAACTTTTCAGTCTCCATCGAGGCGCCATTATGATAATTCTCGTTCGAGGGCATATCGGTGGGTGAGGGTGGTGGTATAGGCGGCTAAGCGTGTGATCTATCAGGACACGAATCTGAAATTGACCTCCAGAGTCTTCTCTTTCGACTGGCCTATATCTGGATTATATCCCTACCGAGCGTGGGTTCCCCCCTTATACGCTTAATCGAGGTTTGCATGGTCTAGTACGGTTTTCCTACTTAATAAGGCACGTTTCCCCTTCGATGGAGTTGCACCCCGGCATCATCCCGAAATTACCACTGGCGGAGATTGCGACTGACAGGCATAGTTATGATTCAACTTGCCTACAATCATGGTCATAGCCTAAGACCTTCCTGGGTTTGCCCCTAATGGTGGAATGGACTTTAGGCCGAGGTTAGCGGCGTTAGTGGCAGGTGGACAGCGGGGGATGCAGGGGTTTTCACCCGTGCTTCTAACCTCGTCGATCATAGCATGAGGCAATTGATATATACTTGTTTCACTTGGTTGACGTGCTTACTAAGGTCACCGTGCTTCGAAGACGCCAAATATGCAACCAAGCTACGCCGCAACAATTGAAGGAGCTGCGGCCGATTTTACCGACCAAGCAACCGAGCAATCAATTTCTGTTAGCCTGGGTTGTTTCGGATCCACCTCTCACAGATCAATCTGAAAATTAGCCCAACACTTGAATCTCAAGAAAAGAAAAGGCCATGGTTCTCCGAGGCATTGGGGCTAAGTGATCTGGTGAACTGCCAAAGTCAACAAGATCCACCTCGATTGTTGTATGACCAGAGGCGGACTTTCACCGGATCTAGTCTAGAGTTCTAGGCATTCGGCTCCCTAGACACCTGGCTAATTTTCAATATGTGGTCGTGTGTAGGACGCAATAACAATCCCTGCCAACAGAAAGCACGAGCGTCTGACGACGCTACGCAAGTGACTGCATATAAATCCGCTCCGATTGTCTGTAAAAGTACGTACGGCAACATCATCTGTTCATCGTTCGTCTCATCATGGCCATTGACAAGGGCACTGAGATCGAAGCTGTATCTTGGATCTTTGGCAGCATTGCCAGCCTCGCTGTAGTGCTTCGGCTGTACACCAGAATATGGCTGACGCAGAAAGCCGGCTGGGATGATGGGTTCATCATTGTCTCCCTGGTATGAGGCCTGCGAAGATCCGATTCTCGAAGGAATCTCGCTAACGCGGGTGACCCCTGACAGGCTAATGCTCTTGTATGCTCTGGCTTGGTACAGATTGGCATAAGATATGGCCTGGGGAAGCACTTGAGAGACATCGCAGACCGAGAAGCCAGGGTTCAAGCATTCAAGTATACGGTGATCGCACCGAACTTCTCCGTCATCAGTACCACGACAGGCAAAATATCTGTCGTGATATTCTTGCTGCGCCTGATGGGCCAGGCAGCCACTCTAAGCAAGCGATGGTTCTTATAAGTCCTAAATATAGTCTCGATCATCTGGAACACATTAGCTATTGTGGCTATTATCGGCTTTTGCCGACCCGCCGAAAAGATATGGCGCCCTGAGACTCCGGGCGAGTGCTTCAGCTTAGGCTTTCAACTGGTGCTTGGTATCTCGCAAGCGGGTGAGTGTCTGAATATCATGCTGATGATCAATGAAATCCGACTCTGACTTTCAGGATAGCCTTTAACGCCTTCGCGGATCTAGCTCTTGCTATATTCCCTATCGCAGTCTTCTGGCACGTTCGACTGCCATTGAAGATCAAAATCGGAGTTCTGGCAGTGATGGGCGCGGGAATCTGGTGAGTGAATCCCCGTGTTTTACTGTACGGACCGTAATTGAGTCATTTGTAGTGCCGCAGCCGCGACACTGGTGAAAGCCATCTTGCTGAAGAGCCTTCCTGCTCATTCAGACATAACATGTATGTGGACTATAACCTCCAAGACCAGATTAGTATGCTAATTGGGCTTCGTAGGGTCATGGGCAGAAATCACTGTGTGGTATACGTGAAATTCACCATTGTTCCATTAGACTGGCGCTTAATACATTCTGACCATGGATCAAACAGGATTGAGGTACAATACTGCGCTTCTCGCTACCTTGCAGTAGGTGCTAACATACGGTCCAGATGTACCTCATCATTATTTGCGCGGCCTTGCCGACCCTGCGTCAATCGTACACTGCCCTTGTTCATCGAACCCGCCGCTCAACGTCGGGCTATGAGTTGAGCGGCCCCAGTCTCAAGCTTGAAGCCCATTCACTTTGTACGCCGCATGCCGGACCAATCGCTCTTCGACACCCACATAGACGCGCCCAAGGCGCAGGATGGTACGAGTAGCCAGGAAAACATTCTTCGAGCAGAAGAGGCGCACCGATCATATATCGTGAAGACCACGGAGTTCCATCTTCACGAGCATGGAAGGAGTTGAGACCCGGGTTCTTGCATGGTAGGTCATTGTGTGCTGCCAGGCCAACATGTACATCATAGTATATTGTACAGCCATTTGCTCTGCGTCAATCATCCCTGGTGCAGTGCTTGCATGACAAATCAAAGTTTTGATTTCGCCAAGATCCTGGAGTCCGACTGACTCACGAAGCTTAGCCAAACGAGCTGAGACAATTTTCAAATGTTCAGTTCTTAAGCTCCCTAGATGATTCATGAAGGTAGGTTATCTTACAGATCTGACTTAGAAATCTCATGCTTTGTCAGATCCTCGATGATGGCGTGGCTTGGTGAGAACCAATGGTTCACCCAGGGTTTGTGATCAGTAATCACCACCCCTCGTGTTTTCTGCGGGTGCTGCTGAATAATGACTGAAAACAACATCGGTGGAAGCGCATGGTTGCTTTGTCTCCTCCACGCTGAATAATTCCAACACGAGCACGAGTTTTCAGTATGCACTTCAGAATGAGGATAAATATGGCCGTAATATCTTCGATACAATGTTTCAGTACACAATCATCACCGATCCGCCGGTTCTCAACCACATTCGATCATGGATTCTATCATCCGCGATAGCACAGCTGGACAGCTTCTGCGATGGGTCACTAGGAACAAAGTCCTGCCCTACCCTGAGGAGCGTCCGGACTTTAAGTGCCCCAATTGCTATGCAGGAAATGCCGCTTCGGCGACAATCTTTGAAGCGGACAGGGAGAAGGGCTCGGATTCCGACCCCGACACCAACGAACGACAATCTGAAGATGCTTCTACATCCGAAACAGCTACCAACTTGAGCCGAGTGCCGTCAATGACCGATCTTGAGAAGGTCCGCACTCAAGACGACCTGGCTCGCCTGTACTCGGTCGCTACGCAGACCGAAGCACTGCAGGCGGCTCCCAGCCGACCTATAGCGCCAACAAAAACCGACGACGGTACCATTCTAGTGGACTGGTACACGACTCATGATCCGGCCAACCCGCAGAATTGGTCCTCCGGCAAGAAGCTGTTCGTTGTGACCCAGATTTACCTCTATACTTTTGCTGTTTACCTGGGCTCGTCGATCTATACGCCCAGCGCTCCGGAAATACAAATCCGTTTTGGCGTCTCGGCAACTGCCGCATCTCTGGGGTTGGCTCTGTACGTCCTGGGGTACGGGATTGGGCCCCTGATCTTCTCTCCGATTAGCGAGATCCCCAGTATCGGCCGCAATCCGCCGTACATCATTACCTTCGCGCTTTTTGTCATCTTCACCATTGGCGCCGCGGTGGTCGACACGTTCGGAGGTCTTCTTGTCCTTCGCTTTCTGCAGGGCTTCTTTGGCAGCCCATGTCTGGCGACTGGGGGCGCTAGCATCGGCGACGTGTACAGCCTGTTGAAATTGCCTTACGGGCTCACCACCTGGGCGGCCTTTGCGACCCTGGGTCCCGCCCTGGGTCCCCTGATCTCAGGCTTCAGCGTTCCCGTCAAGGGCTGGCGGTGGTCCCTCTGGGAAACCGTCTGGCTGTCGGCCCCAATTCTCGTCCTCATGTTTTTCTGCTTGCCTGAAACGTTCCCGGATGCCATTCTCCTGCAGCGGGCGCGCCGCCTGCGCCGGGTGTCTGACAATGACAAATTGCGCTCGCTGTCCGAAATTAAGCAGAAGCAATTGACCGTCACCGCCGTGGCAATGGAAGCGCTGTATCGGCCGTTCCAGATCGTCTTCCTCGACCCAGCGATTCTCTTCTTCAACGTCTACACTAGTCTAATCTACGGGATCTACTACTCCTTCTTCGAGGTCTTCCCGATTGTCTACATTGACATCTACCACTTCAACCTCGGTGAGATGGGCCTCGTCTTTCTGAGCATCGCCGTGGCCCTCGCCATCGCCGTCCCCCTCTACTTCTTGTACCTGTACAAGGTCTTCGAGCCCGAGATCCGCACCCGCGGCCCGGGCGCCCCGGAACGCCGACTCATCCCCGCGCTATTTGCCTCCTTCCTCCCGCCGATTGGACTGTTCATTTTCGGATGGACCTCGCGCGCCTCGGTTCATTGGATCGTATCGGTGGTCGGAATCCTGCTGTACACGATCGGGATCTTCACCCTGATCCAGTGCATCTTCATCTACATCCCGATGACGTACCCGCAGTATGCGGCGAGCCTGTTCGCTGGGAATGACTTCATGCGCAGTGCGCTCGCTTGCGGCGCGGTGCTGTTTGCCCGCCCGCTCTATCTGAATCTTGGGGTGGGACAGGGGGTGAGTCTGCTGGCCGGGTTGACGGTGGGCTGCATTGGCGGGATGTTCGCGCTGTACTACTACGGGGCGGCTTTGAGGGCTCGGAGCCGGTTTACGGCGAAATAAGGTAGATCATGATGGAAGTCATTTTGGGTCTTGGCTGCGGTTTGGATTCCTATGTACTAGATAAGCTTAATATTTAATCGGTTATATGATTTATGAATGATAAACAATGTGGCATTGATGCTTCAGCTGGTAGAGCAAGAATGACAAGCATGTATGCTTCATTTATTTCTTTCTCTCCAAGGTAAAATAGCTAGACTGAACAAATAACATCATTCTTTCACTCCAGTATTCACAGCTCTTTAATCCCTCGCCCGTCTTCTGAATCTCGTCTTTTCTTAATCCTCTCGAAGAATGCAGAATTGACCCTACCGCGCAGTATAACCGCCATCCACCGGCAAAAGAATCCCAGTCACCCAACTGGCGTCCTCACTAGCCAACACCACGGCCATCCGAGCAATATCATCCGGCATCCCGGGCCCCTTGAACGGATGCCGCTGCTGCAGATCCTCGAGAGGGGTCATGTAGGCCGTTGTCTCTTGAAAGATAGCCGTCTGAGTGTCTGCATTGTAGCCGTCAGCAAACAGCACAAGCCTCAAACCTAGATACCCCCCATGTCGGGGAGGGACCATCACTTACAACCCGGGCAAAGAGCATTAACATGAATCCTGTGGGGCGCATAGTCCAGCGCCACCTGTTTCGTGAGATTGCTCACCGCGCCTTTCGACGCACAGTAGGAAACTTCACCCAGAAAACAAATTAGCTTTCACGTCCATCTGTCAAGCCTGCTAACCACAATATCCCCACACACACACACACACACACTCACCAGAATCAAAATGGGAGACTCACCATTCTCCAACCCCGCCACAATCCCCATAATCGACGACATATTGATGATCCACCCGCGATTCCCGGAGGGCTGATGCGGCTCCTGCTTCAACATCTGGGCCGTCGCGTACTTGCACCCCAGGAAGACAGACTTGCTGTTGACGCGCATCGTGGTGTCCCACACCTCCTCCTCGGTCAAGTGGCACACGGCGGGAGTTCTTGCTTCGAGTGCGACGCCGGCGTTGTTGACGAGACTGACAGTCAGATTAGCCTACTCGCTCGTTCTTGTTCTTTGTTTTTTTTTTCTTGAGGAACAAACGGGCCGCGGAAAGGGGGAAGGGGGGGTCTCACATATCCAACCGCCCAAACACATCCACCGCCGTCTGCACCACCCGCTCCATATCCCCCGCATCCCCGACGTCCGTCCTCACGAAGACGGCCTCCCCGCCGCCCTGCACGATGAGGTCATGCGTCGCGATTGAGGTCTCGGAGGGGACTTGTGCGCGGGCGGTCGAGCTTTGCGCCTTCGCGGGCGTACCGGAGGGAGATGGCGCGGCCCAGGCCGGAGGAGGAGCCTGTTACGATGGCGATTTTGTTGGCGAGGCGGGGGGCGGGTGTCATGATTGCTTGGTAGGGTTTGAGCTGGGTGGAGGGTTGGGATGATCTGTTATGTTGTGTTTGTTTGTTGGGGCTTGGGAGCTGGCGTTGTATGCTTCCTTTATCTTGATCTTTGTCCTCCGGTCAGTTGCGGGGTTGTAGGTCTAGACCATGCAGGCAGGGTCATCATTGCTTTGGGGGAGGGTTCGGCTTTCTGTGCGAGGGTTGGGTATCCGAGGGTATTCGGATAAGGGATTTGGGGGGCTTGGTGGGACTTTACCTGGTGCTATAATTGTGGTTTCTTTATACTTGTTGTAGTTGGGGGTGGGGGAGGAGTATAGGTCCAACCGAGGGAGAGATCTTATTGAACGCTGGATGGGTTATCATGTTGTGGTATGCGGGCCATTGCTGGTACAAACTGTCCAAGCTGTGAGGACATGGACTGTGGGACGTGATATCTACAAAACAAATGCAGTGGTGGTAAGCTCAGATGTTGATTGCAGACAATGGTTGGGGAAGTTGAGACAAAAACTAAAAAGAATGGATGAGCCCAGCCCGGCTCGATCAGGCAACCTTACGATCTGGAGTCGTACGCGCTACCAATTGCGCCATAGGCCCATTCTATGCAATCCTAACATGATGAGCGCAATATGTTCAAATTGCCACGGGACTCAATTCCCATCTACTCTTCTCAGTCCAGCAAGACACAACTTCGTCCATCAACCGGACACATACAACAGTCGCGCCATTTAAGTGTCTCCATCTTCTCATGCCCTCTTATATAGATATGACGAGCTGCTGAGCTTTCACTGAGTCGATCTGATCATCTTCTGACTGGCCACCTTCCAACACAAACCAGCGTCCATGCGTACCCGATTCCGTCGGGCAACATAACAACACCATGGGAAGCTTTACAGAGCTAAACAGACAGCTCAGACGCTGCAAGAGTTCTCGGGACTCTAGCTAGTATTATAGCCTTATCTACAGACACTGCAGCCGTTGCTCAGCTAGGTGGTCCTTCATGATCATAAAGATACGTCTCCATCCTACCGGGTCCTGCTAGACGCTTACTGGAGTCCTCTATAGCGGGCACGGACTACGGTCGAGGGTTATGATCGGTGAGGCTCTCCAGGTGAACCTTGAGCAAACACGAGAAAGGAGGTCTGCGGCACCGTCCGCCTCAAGCAAGTTCATGTCAAATGACATTCGCGGTGGCTGTATGATGCTCTCGGTCCGATAGCTGGTGCTCTTTGCTAATCAATAACATGGTGTCAAAGTCTTCCCCATTGCGCTCAGGATCTTCTTCCATTCAAACAAATGGCTTGAATCAGCCATCCGGCCTCACGGACGGTCGTCTTTACCAACACAACGTCCGTCCCACGAATGCTCCCCCTTGCTTGACTGCAAGCTGCTGGATCAGCCCATGCTATCCGCATCTAATCATAGCCCGGAGCTGATAACTTCAGGCAGTGGTTGCTCAATATTGCATCTATGTCGCAGCGGACCCTGTTCGACGTGCAGTAGAGCTCTACTCTCGGGACATGGACCTCTGGTGTGGGCATGCCTAGGTGTCCATGCTTCTTGCGGGAATACTGTTCTCTGAATACAACGTATATGAAGTCACCAGATACGGGTATTGGGTCAATGTGCCAGGCAAGTGTAACTTCAAGACAACGCCACCCCTGAGGATGGTGAAGATATCTTGGACCGTACTCACCGCAATTTGTTCGTCGAGATCAGGGCATGTGCAATCTTGCTCACTCGAGGTTTGGAGGATCTTTGGGATAGACTTACGCGCACCCTTTGGCTGATCTGATCATCACCCTTAGGCTTGTCTCGCCGTTGCCAATAACTTCTTGGCAGAATTGAAGTCGACTCTCTTCAGCCCATTGCTTGATACTGGGGTGAAATCCTGACCAGAGGACGACAGTGCTGATCAACTTATCTGGAGCGGATGAATCTTCACATCGTCAAGATCAGATCGACCCATAAACGCCATTCACGAGCATCTAGAGTCCAGTTTAGCCGGCAAGGAGGCCTATCCTGGTGGCATAGCCGCCCAAAGTAGCATTTCGTGAACACCGGGGCCCGGTATTGCCGATGGGTCCAGTGTCCTTGATCCTGGTGACCCTCGGTGACTAGTGCGTTGACATAGGGCCAGCCCCAGGCATCTTCCCAACTCATTCGTTCTATGCTATCTAACGCATACAGAACTCCACTCCCCCCTGTACCTCGTGATATATACTGACGCACCAGACCCAACAGAATCAACCAAGAAACGTACCACTATATACCATCCTCCAAGGCCACCTTCACAAAGCCCCGACACCTATCCACATCCCCACACCATGGACTGGCTACCTTACAACCACAACCAGCAGCGTCAAATACGATCACCGCAGCACCTACCTCATACACATTTGTTCTATCTCCGTTGTGACTGTTGCAAAGCAAAAATATGCACCCAACATGGGCCTATGGCGCAATTGGTAGCGCGTACGACTCCAGATCGTAAGGTTGCCTGATCGAGCCGGGCTGGGCTCATATACTTTTTTGCTTTTGATATTCCTATCATTCATCCCACCCCAACAAAACAAGTTTCTATCGGTAGGTCTGCCTGCTCTAGGCGCCAGTCATGGAAACAAGCGAGCCATAACGAGAGACTCCGTGCTGGCTGCCCGTTGAAAACCCCACGATGCAAATCCCAAACGAAGCTCCTCGTGTCGTCGCCATGTTCCATCACGCTTGGCAGTAGAAGACACAACCGAATATTTCGCCACAGGCATCCATGAACCATCTAGCTAGCCCATTCCTTCTGCACGTGTCTTCATTCCGAATTTCACCCGGATAATGGACTTGTGCCGCATAATACCAAGTCTAGTTTCCGATGGCTGGAGGACAAGCCCACCGAAGTCCATATTCCCACGCAGGCTCACTCGGACCCTGAAAATGGACAAACCACAGGGCCAATTTGACATAACAGTCTACAAGAATGATACTCATGCTTACTCCTATCACATACGACCACAGGGTGTGGAAAATAGGGCTTCCCGTCCGCTCAGCCGTACTCAAGCCACACGCCGGGAGGTTAGTAGTTGGGTGGGTGACCACCAGCGAATCCCTTCTGTTGTATGTTTTTTTCTGTCTGCGCACTTACCCTAAGACCACGAGTGCTTTCAGAGAGTACGGAAGACACCAAAATACCTCTCTTTCGTTCTCTAAGAGGGTGAGTGCGTGGCACCTTTCTTTTTCTTGGTAACCTTCGCGTACAACCCCCCCCCCCGCGGATTTCGTAGCAGCGTCCGCACCTCCAAACCCCATCATCGATGATGCAATTTTCACCTACATGTCCGCGCTGACACGCTGGCTATAGAGCGCTGGACTGTGGTCGAATGAGATGCCCATGGCAAATCTCTGGATATAACACTCGCTCAGGACGGGTAACGGGAGTGCGCCCCAGGGGATGGCACGCCTTTGCTCGGCGATGGCAATGGAGAAAGCAGCAGCAGCAACAGCACTACCATCACCATCCCGACGAACATCACCGCCATCATCACCATCATCATCATCATCATCATCATCATCATCATCACCATCACTATCCTGAAAGGGCTGGACGACTATGTGCTGTCCAAGCCCCTTGGTGTCATGAGCGATCCTTTCCCTCGGGGCTCTGGAGATGAGCAGTCTTCAGTTCTACTTTCAAGTATTGAAGTTCAATGCTCCGAGCACTCTGGGTTAGATCAAGTCTAGGCTTTTGTTAACGTTTCTCTTATAGTTATTCCCAAGAAACATTTCTTTAGAACCAGAACTAGGCATTTTGAATAAAGAATATCCCACCCCCACCTTGAAACCCTCTTCAAGTATAGTAATTCCCATGGACCTGGTTGACACCCTCAGCCGCCCTTAGCCAACCCACACGATCCTTCACAAACTGTTCAATCCGCGGCTTCAACTGATTCTCGTGCAGGGCGAAATCATCTATAGTCCCAATGCGTAGAATGCTCATTCCGGGAAAACCAGTCGAAACACGGTACATCAGGGTGCCGCAGACCGAGCAGAAGAAGTTGGTCATGTTGTTCCCCGAGGCCACGGTCTTGGACTGGCTATAGGACGATAGCAACTCGCGGCCGCGCTCATGAACCAAATGCTGGTCATCGATGGTAAAGTTCGAGGCGAACATTGATGCGGTGATCTTGCGACAGTCCGTACAATTGCAAATGAAGGTGTCGACTAGGCCAGGGCCCTGGGTTGGCTGGAGGGATTGCCCTTTTGTAAGCATAGAAAGAGTGAAGGTAAGGAGGCATACGCCGAGGGCACCTACAAAGCTCAGCTGGACAGCACCGCAGAAGCATGTAGCTGTCGCTCGGTCGCCATTAGACCATCCGTCCTGTCAGGCACCCGCTAAAGGGAAATATGAGTTGGTTTTCGTGCTGTTGGAGGTAGTTGCCATGGTGTGGAGGATGCTGTTATTGAAGCTTTTCACCAACTGTGCCGTATGTGATTTGTATCTGAACTGTGTTGGGCCTGGAATGGAAGAGATACTACTTATATATTCCTAGATTCGCGGGTGCTGAGCAAGCCTCTAGTTATTGCGGAGTCGCGGAGTCGCGGAGTCGCGGAGTGGTGTGAGTTGCGGCCTCGGAGTCGCGGGCATCTTCATGATAAACTACTCTCATTGATTTTGTCTGACAAATTCGAAGCCTTAACTAGTTAGTTAGTGAGTGACGGAGAGCTGCTGACCAATCTCCTGTAGGTTTATTCTTGCAGATCTTCCCAACCTGAACTGACTGACAGCTAAATGTACCACTGCATTTGATCTCAATGGGTCTGTGCCGTTCCTTCAAGTTTCCTCGGAAGAAGGCTCTCAAACACCCAGGGAGAGTCAACGGCCGTAGATCATCATGACTTCTGTACACGGGTCAGCCTAGGCTTACGCAATCCTCTCAATCAGGGCTGCGAGCATAGCATATGTTGAGATGAGGAAATGTATTGCCGGAAACCTGAGGCACCGCCCCGCGAGGGTGACTGATTTCCAACCAGGGTCCTGAGCACTGACCAGAAACAAACCAAAAGAATAACTTAGGCCTTGCTATTCAAGAATTGCAGCACTGACAGTGTCTAACGGGGGAATCGTCTGACAGCAGGGGTTGCTCCTATTGGCGGGAAACAGACACAGACACATACCGCTCACGTTGTTATCAGTCCGCAGTGCTCCGTAACTCCGCCGCAGTCCAAGTTGAGGGATATAAACGCATCTCATACTACCCGGGATATAGCCAACAATGATGACTGTTTGTCCCTTCTTTGTGCTCCATCTCACTTTCATGATCTCTACGATCTGGTACGAACCTAACAGTCTTTGCAACTGATTTTTATTTCACTTCAAACTGTTTTCTTGTCATCCTTACTTTGAATCACAAACACCAACAACACCCAGCAGGGATGGCAACAGTCACTACCACCTTCAACGCTCCAGCGCCTCCCGCCACGCCCGTGGCGCACCCCATCCCCCCCGCATCGAGCCGACTCTTCGAGCCGGTGCGGGTGGGCAAGATGGCGCTCCACCATCGCATCGTGTTCCCCCCGTTGACCCGCAACCGCAACGATGACGACCACACCCCGCTGCCGTTCATGGCGCAGTACTATGCCGACCGTGCATCGACGCCGGGAACACTGGTCATATCCGAAGCGACGGCGGTCTCGCATCTCGAAGAGGGCCAGGAGCACACGCCGGGCTTCGTGACGGAGCGGCAGGTGGCCGCCTGGAAGCCGATCATCGACGCGGTCCACGCGCAGGGGTCGTACTACTTCCAGCAGCTCTGGGGGATGGGCCGGGCCGCGGACCCGGCGCTCCTAGCCCAGAGAGGCCTGCGATACCGCTCCAGCAGCCCCGTCCCGCTGGCCGGCGTCGAGGCCATCCCCGCGGAAATGACCGAGGCGGAGATCGCGGAGGTGATCCAGAGCTTTGCGGACACGGCGAGGCGCGTCGTGGACGCCGGCGGCGACGGGGTCGAGGTGCACTGCGCCCACGGCTACCTGCTCGATCAGTTCCTCTCGGACGCCGTCAACAAGCGCACCGACCGGTGGGGCGGATCGATCGAGAACCGCGCCCGGCTGGTCCTGGAGGTCGTCAGGGCCGTCGTGGCGGCGGTGGGCGCCGACCGCGTCGCGCTGCGACTCTCCCCCTACGCCGCCTTCCAGCAGGCCGAGAAAGGGGACATCCGCCGACAGTACCTGTATGTGATTGCGCAGTTGAAAGCCACGGTGCCGCCGCTGGCGTACTTGTCGCTGGTGGAAGCCACGGGGGACCCCGGGGCGTTGATTTTTGGCGGCAAGGCCGTCAACCAGGGCAAGACCTTGGACTTCATCCTGGAGGCTTGGGAGAACCGGTCCCCTGTTGTGGTGGCCGGGGGCTATCAGCCCGAGACGGCCGTCTGGGCGCTGGAAGAGCGATACAAGAAGTGGAACACTCTGGTGGCTTTCGGTCGTCATTTCCTGGCCAATCCTGATCTGGTGTTTAGAGTCCGGCATGGGATCGAGCTTAACAAGTATAACCGGCCCACTTTCTATCTACCCAAAAATGAAGTCGGCTACAACGATTACCCGTTCAGCAAGGAGTATCTCGCCGCACAGCAGAAGGTATCTCGCTAATGTTTATGCGGTCGCCCGATATGAGATTGGAGAGGATGATAGACTGTCATATCTTTGATAGTCCTCGAATTCCTGGGTTGTTTCTTTTTCTCTGTTAATAAAGAAGTTTGCGTGGGGGAAACAACTGCTCCATGTGCCATCGTTTTCAAACAGGGGTACCGTTCACTATTAGGCACCCTACAGACATTTTGATAATCTTGTTTTGCCTGTTATAAGATATTTGTTTGAAGATAAATAGCTTTCTATAGATAATAGCCCGGTTTTAAATATAATAATTATATAGTTCTCTATTAAGTCTATTAGGTCATAATCTTTTTGATATATTAAATTTTCTGTATATGAAGTACAATTTGTAGGATTCCTATAAGTACCAAGAAAGTAAATATAATAATAGTTTAGAATATTATAAAAGATATAAGAAAAGAAAAAACAGAACAACAACTCAGCAACACGCTGACAGAGCGCCTACAAGAGAGCAGTTTGTGACCACTGTTATCCTTATCTTGTTGTAGGTTTTTTGTCCTTACCTTATCTTTTTTTTTCGCTTTTGGAGGCATTTGTAGCGGTTGTCTCTGCCTTTGGTTTTCCCCTATGGATGTTCAGGTCAGCTAGATGGAATGGTGCTGATGATGTACTCCAATGCCGCACATGCTATAGATGCGAATATCCAGAGACGATGAGGTCGCCGTCATGGACGTGTATGAGTAAGAGACGAATTCAAAGCACCGTGCCCAGTAATTATTAATTCTTCTTCACACTTTTCTCCATATCTCACATCAAACATCGTATATACTACCGACAGACAGGCAAGTTTAAAATTAATGTATATAGAACCGTGACAAACGCATGGTATGGTATCTCTTTTTGCAACCCAAATGCAAATCAATCATCTTTCATCCCTCATCATCCCGCATTCATCAGTCGTGTGCCCCCTCCAACATCTCCAAACCCCGGACAAGAAACCCACCACAACATCAACACGTCATCCGTACGAGACCCTCAAACCTTAGGCTCGGCAGTCTCCGCGTGGACGACCTCGCCGCCGGCGCGCTTCTCCTCGTCGAAGCCGACCTCCTCGACCATGGCCCCGTGCTTGAACTCGTTGCGGGTCTTCCAGGCGGGGGTACCGATATACGGGATACCGTTGGGGTCGGTGAAGATGGCCTCGACCTCCTCGAGGGTCTTACCGGTGGTCTCGGGGAACATGAAGAAGATGTGGATGGTCATCGCGGTACAGAAGACGCCGAACAGCACGTAGACCTCCCACTTGATGTTGACGAAGGCGGGCGGCACGAAGTACGAGAGCGCGAAGTTGAAAGCCCAGTTGAAGGAGGTGCACAGCGCCACGGCCTTGCCGCGCACCCGCAGCGGGAAGAGCTCGGGCGGGTAGACCCAGGAGGCCGGGCCGAAGGAGACCGCGTACGAGGCCACGAAGAGGTAGGTGCAGGCGATGACACCCTTGCTAGCGGCGCCCTCGATGATCCACGACTCGGCCTCGACGCCGTCGAGTCCACCGGGCGGCGCGGGGCGACCGTACGTGGCCATGAGACCGGCGTTGGCGTAGAGGAAGATCATCATCAGGACGGAGCCGATCAGGAATGTCGGACGACGACCCCATCGGTCTCCCCAAATCAGGGCCGGGATGGTGGTGATGACGTTGATCACGTATTGGATGGAGGAGGAGGTCAGGTTGTTGTTGCCGGTCATGCCGGCCATCGCGAAGATGTAGGTGATGTAGTACATCATGACGTTCATTCTGTAAAGCATCGGTCTGTTAGCTTTCTGCGATTGAGAGACTAATTCTTGGAACATACCCGGTAAGCTGAGACCAGATCTGAGTGAAGACACCGACGTGCGTGCGATTGATCATGTTGGGCTTGAAGAGCTCGAGGTAAGTGACGTCGGCATTGGCGCGCTCGAATTCACAGATGCTCTTGATCTCCTCGAACTCGCGCTGGACGAAGGGGGAGTTGGGATCACCATGACCGTGCACCAGGGTCAGGACAGCGTGGCACTCTTCCCAGCGGTCCTTACGGGCCAACCAACGGGGAGACTCGGGGAGCAGCATCAGACCGAGGAAGAGCAAAACCGCGGGGATCATCTGCAGGCCCCAAGGAATGCGGAAGGCTGCGGTTCCCTTGATGAAACTGCAACCATACGAGATGCTAGTGGGGACGGTCAGCATTGTAGTGGTAGGCAGCCAAAGTTCAGTTGACTTACTAGAACATGATCAAGATACCCCAGGTGATAGCCCACTGTTGCAGACCGACCACACGTCCACGCTTGGTAGGGGGAGCCTATGAACACAATAAGTATACCAGGTAAACAAGCAGGGAAGCACCGGGATAGACTCACAATCTCAGAGATGTAGACGGGCACCTGAGCGGAACAAATACCAACACTGAGACCGTTGATGACACGGCCAACAACCAGCATGGGGATGTTCTGAGAAGCACAGACAATGATGGAACCAATGCACCTATATCACCATGATTAGGGACTGCAACATCACGCAACACATCCGAAACAACATACCAGATAATTGAGCCGACCTGAATGGAAGTCTTACGACCAAACCTATCCGATATGAAGCCAGAAATCAAAGCACCCAGCCAGGAGCCACCCGCCATGGAGGCAGTGATACCACCCTGAACATCGGCAGTGGGACCGGAACATTTCTTTTCACCATCCACGTATTTGACGTCTCCTTGGTTGAAATAGCAGAGATAGGTTTGTGTGCTAATGATAGCAGACATGGACGAAATATCGAAACCAAAAAGACCACCGCCGATAACGGCG